AAAAAAAAAAAAAAAAAAAAAAAAAAATGTCTTCTGCCCTTGCACTTTAAAAATCAACGTCCTCTTTAGCATGAAGGGATGCCCCAACTTTCCATAGTGGAGGAATGTCTGTTAGCCTTTGTAAACATCTAGAAAGAAAGTGAGGTGGTTTCCAAGGGCTACAAACTACAGTTCTGCTTTCAGCTGCTTCCCTGTTTTATGTTTTTCAACCTTCCTGTGTCACCACACAGATTTGCAGACCTTTATGAAGCTCTTCTGAGTCAGGAGGTTATTGCTTTCTGCTCCGGTAACAAAAAGATTTGAAGGATTTTATTCCAACCTTTTCAAAGTCCCCTAACCAAAGAGGGGCACTGATCCAATCTTAGATTTCAAAGCTCTTAATGTCTTCATGCGGTTGCAAATATTCAGCATGACATCCACCAGGTCTGTCATAGCCTCCATCAGGGAAACTTTCTGCCCTCTGTAGACCACAGGTATGCATACTTGTAGGTCCCTGTTTTTCCAGCACATCGAGGTAGTCTCCTTTGCCCTGGACAAACTGACTTATTTGCCACCAGGTTGTCTCTAGTCTGGTGGCTGACAAATCCAACTTTGAGAATCCTGTTCTCTCCAGTCAGACCGTGTCACAGCTGTGCCATACATCAACCATCAGGGAGAAACTAGAAATGACCTGCGTCAAAGCACATTGTCCTTCTAACCTCCAGGTTCTACAGCAAACACTACAGGTTTTCTGATGCAGAGATCTGGTCAAAGCAGTAGCCACTCTACTGGCTCTGTGAGATCACAGCCTGATCTACGCTTTTTCTTCCCTGAAACTCCTTCCTCATCTGCTCTGCAGGATCCAGATGGAAGACCTTTCGGTAATCCTCATAGCTTCAGACGGCCAAGGGGGATGTGGTACTCAGACTTGATCAGACTCCTGGAAAATGCTCTGTGGGCCCTTTTCAGGTTGTCAGAATGTTCTGTCACAAGAACCAGTTTACCATACTGCTGAAGCAGGGTTTAACATCATGGCTGATAAAGCCCAGGTCTTGAGGGATAGAGGCCTCTCTGAATCCATAATTCCTATAATGCTAAAAGCTAGGAAGTACATTTCCTGGAAGGTCTACCATAACTCATGGAAGTCATACTTTGCTAGTAGGACATTTTCATCCCAGGAAGTATTCTATGGGGTGTATCTTCACCTTTTTTTTTACAATTAGATCTTAACCAGCATTTGGCCCTGAGTACCATCAAGAATCAAATCTCTGTGCTTGTTCTAAAGACCGCTAGTTTCCCATTGTTTGAATAAAATATTTTTATAGGGTGTCTCTCATGTGGTTTTCCTGCATGTTCACCAGTCATTCTATAGGATTTGAATTTGATTCTTTCAGCATTTCAGAAATCACCCTTTAAATCTATTAGGGATATTCCCTGGTCTTTGCTTACTCACAAGGTTGCATGATCGTTTTGCCACGATCACCTCTGCGAGATGTGTATCTGAACAGACGGCCTTGTCTTCTAAAGACCCCTTTCCCTTCTTACATAGAAATAAGGTAGCGTTGAGGCCTACAGCCTTAATCCTTGCTAAGGTGATTTCAACCTTTTACCCCAGCTAGGACATTGTACTAACATCTTTTACCCAAATGACTATTTTAAGTTATGAACCGCTATATAAGTGTTCAAACTGAGGAACTGGTTCTGAGGATTCAATCATGAGATTTGTGAGCTCAACACAATAACAAATGTATTGGTATATAGTATCAAGACTTAAATATAGCAAACCAACAATATATTTAACTACAAAATACAAAGAAAAGATTTAAACATGCCAAATACACAGACATTGGTATCTAACAGACAAACAGACATACAGTTAAGTGGGGAAAGAGTATATGGATATTTACCCATTAATTGTCACATGAGGGCCCCATCCTGGTGTAACACCCTGCCCCGGGGTTTATCTGTTCCTTGGACCACAGCTGCGGATCAGGTTATTCCTATCAAGGACGGGTATCAGATTGTAGCTCTACCTCTTAAGCCGCGTATAGGTTTAGGCGAGGAGGGAGCTACTCAACATCACACCCCGTATAGCAGCACTTCTACCCTGTAAGATGCCAGTAGGGTAGTGAGGAAATCACATTAGCAATTCAATAGGTGTGAGGTATAACAGTTCACCTGATATTACTTAGCAGTTCAATAGGTAAGGTGTGAGGTATAGCAGTTCACCTGATATTACTTAGCAGTTCAATAGATATGAGGTTGCACAGCTCACTGGTTATCAACTAGCAATTCAAATAGGTATGAGGTGTCAATTAAACAGTTCAATAGCATTGAGTTTGGAACTCAGCAGCTCAATAGGTATGAGGTTGTACAGCTCACTGGTTATCACCAGCTTGCGCTGACCCCCGGGATGGGGAAGCGTTGGTTCACTGCTGCACTCGTGTGGCTTGATCCTTGTAAGGAGCAGGAGAGGGCTGTGTTGATCAGCGTCCTGCTTCCACAATAGTGGGACGCCGATCAATCAGTGGCCCGCGGCTTTATGACGGCGGCCCGAGTGAGGGGGCGGAGTCTCGCGGCACCCTACGTCGCGCATGCGCAGCACCGTGGACGGAGCTCGGTCCCGGCCGTGACGGAACACGGTTGTTACACCTGGTGGTCTAAAAAGACTAACTCTTCCCTTCCTGCCCCTTGATTGATATATCTCTGCTCCTCATAGGGAAGCATTGAGAGACTTTGATTGGTGGCCTCCCAATGCCCAATCTATTCAGATTGGAATTCCTGTATTGTGATTGGACGTTCCCAAATCCCCCCTGCCAGAACCTCCAACCCCCCTCTATGCAAATCTATTAAGATGAGCGGGAAATTCTAGATGGGCAAGTGTCCTTAGGCTAACCCCAGGCCATGATTTCATCTAAACCAGGGGGACAATCTGGTTGTTTTACTAGCGACAAGGAAACCTTTGATATTGGCCAGAG